TGATCAGGCTTGGCAGCAAATGATTGTACATGCTGAATCTTCTTGCCCTTTGTATTAAGGACCCGTCACTTTAAGAACGCACTTTATGTCTTTGGAATTAAAAATTTTTGGCAATTTAAGGACTTTTGATCATATTCAACTCTATGCCCCTCCCCTATCCCCTTCCTACTCTGAATTCTTTCCTCTGCCCCTCTCATTTTCATGGCTTTCATTTTCTAAATAACCCACTCTGTCTAATCAGGGCTGCTTGGGGACACGGTTGTTCACTAGATTGTGGGCAGGCCTCCTTTTCTAGTCCTTTCCAGGTCCAGATCACCCACCGGCATTGCCACTTTTATTCTGTATTGTAATTTGTCATCTTTGTGGGGCCAGAGGAATTCTGCTCTGAGCAGGAAGGGCCAAAGGGGCCTTCAGAGAAGGTACTAGGGCTGCATGTGAGGTTGTGGACTGATGCCAAGGAAGCCCAGAGAAGAAGTCTCTTGAGGCCTGAGTTTGCTTATTAGGTCCCTAGCCTCCTGCCATCCAGGGATCTGTAGAGAGTGGCAAGGAATTGCTGCAGAGGACTGGCATAAAGCAAGGGCTCAGACTTCTCTTTCTCCTGCCTAAGCCTCTGGGTTTATGGTGCAGGAGAGAGGGCCGAGGTTTCCTGTGCCAGCGGGCAGGGTAGTCCAGGCGGCCAGCAAAGGCCAGTGGGCATCTCAGATGGCCACCCCACTGCAGGAGTGACACTAGCTTCTGGTCTCTGGAAGTTCTCAGGGCAAAGGGATTATCAGAGGTGGGCTTTCTACTCAGAAAGCAGCTGAGGTCCACCCACAAGGTGGATTTTCTTCACCTGTGTTTATCGTCACACGTGGTAGATCTAGAGGGACAGGGGTGTGTTAACCCACTATGTTTGTGTGTCTACTGTAGCCTGAGAGGGCTCCATGTGTGGGTGTGTCTAGTGTCTGTGTAAGAGCTCAGGACCGAATGTGGCTCCTGTGCACGGATGTACACTTGATTGCTTTGTGTACATGCTCAATTTACTAATGGAGTGGGCTCTGGCTGCTGAGGGGTGGACCCAGGCATGTGGAGGGGCCTCACTCACAGATGTACTCGAGTGCAGGACACTGTGTCCTTCCGTGGGCACCTTGTCCCACTCTCCTGATGGCTAGTACACGTTTGAGTGGTGCTTTGCTAAGGGGCATCTGCTTCCATAAACCTGGGCTGGGACTAAGCATGGGGTTTTCTCTAATTTTCCTCCCCCAGCTCCTTCCCCAGCAACCTCTCCCTCTATTTCTCAATCGCTCTCTCCTCCTCCTCTTTTTCTCCCTGTCCCTCCACCCTTCCAACCTCTCTTCTTCCCCATGTTCCCTCCCTCCCACCCACTACCCAGGTACACTCTTAGTACAGGAAAGATTCCAACTTCTAATTATCCACTTTCCATACCCACTGCTGGGATTTCAGGTGGCTTCACACTTCATTTTTTTTTTTAAGTGAGGTAAACTGCAAATAATGTGTAATTCACCCTTTTAAAGGTGGTAGCCCAGAAGCCTTTTGTTGCTCTGTATGGCAGTCCTCATCTCGGTCTGCTTTCAGAACCTTCTCACCACCCCTAAGGGCACAGCAGCAGTATTTCCCTTTCCTGTCCCCCAGTCCCTGTTGGCCATGGACTCTGCTCTCCATTTCTGTGGATGGTGTGAAGGACATTTCCTAGGAACAGAGGAGAACTCACATGGCCTCTTTTCTGTGTTCTTTCACTTAACATTAGATTTTTTTTTTTGATTGATCATGTTGTCCCGTGAATTCTGTTTTTACAATTCAAATTACACCCGCTTAACGTAAAATTAAATCAGTTTACTTAAGTAATTAAGTCAAGTGGAATTTAATCATCCACATAATTTTTTTAATTACCATGACTATTTAATTCCAAGACATTCCTACTGTTACAAAAGAAAATACCATATTCAACACAAAGACATGAAAAAACGATCAAGATTTAAAGCAATATTTTATCAATCATCCCCCATTGCGTTTTACCTGTTTGCAGCATGGAAAGCAGGTAGAGGAAGTACCATATCGAAGAGGATCCTGTTAGAACACAGAGAAGGAGAGCCCACCATCCCCATTCCCTGAAAGCTGGGGCAGATGTGACCTGCTGTCATTCAGGAACAGAGGAGAGAGAACCACAGCTGCCAGCAGCAAACAGGAGGCTGGTGATGGAGGATCCTGGTAGGGAGGGATCAGGGAGAGGGAGGAGAGGCAGAGACTAGCTGAGCTGTCAGGGTGATGGTGGACATCTGTGAGAGTGATCAGGAGTTCCAGTTCTTCTTGGGTGAGATGCCAAGTTCCAGGCCTCCATGGTGAGACTCTGTCCCCAAAGCATGACAAACAAAAGCCAGACAGAGGGAACAGCACAGGCAAGGAGCCAGAGGCTCAGCCAGTGACACAAGATGCCCCTCCAGGGGGCTGCTGTGGATGAGAGCCCCACAGCACAGCTCAGCACTTAGGGAGCATCACTCAGGCACACCCCACGCCCCCTGCTGCCCACGGAATCTTGCTGATCTGCAGTGAGTCTCAGAGAGGGGAGCAGACAGCCTGTGTCACACAGCCCGTGGGGCAGTGAGACTGAGCAGAGCCTGCATCCTTCCTCCATGTCTCAGTGAAGAGGTGGCTTCCCAGTGAAGCTGCCAGTCAGAAGGAGCTGGCCCTTAATCCTTGCAGGGTTTGAATGTGTGACCATGAGGAGAAGAACAGAGAGCCTGGCATGAGTGAAGGCAGGTAGGGCGTGGAGACATGTGGGACTGATAATAGTAATAACTGTAATAGTGCAAAATACTAATCATTCCTGTTATTGTTTATTAAATTCCAACTGTGAGCCAGG